GGACTTAGAAAAAGGTAAAATTCTTGCTCTTAAGAGGTGAAAATTATCCTGAAAGAACAATTGCTAAAACTTAAATCAGTCATGCACTGTAATCAATTACTTGCTGGAGTTTTTGGTTTTTTGTTTTTTTTTTCATTATTCTTCTACATTGTTATCCAGTTTCTGCATTGCTTAACAAGCATAAAATTGCATTTTTATCAAAATTCTAGCCTCGTTTCATGTACTGCATGACTCCACTCCCACTTAAGCATTTTGAAGTGAATTCAAGACAGCAACTGTCTGATTGAAAGACACAAAAATGGTTTTCCCTAGGCATAACATGTTTCTGTAATGTCAAAATTTTCCTGACCAACTCATTTTGATTTTATAAGTTTATTAAGCACCCTTATAAATTGACTCACTCTATGCAACCCTTTGATATTTTTAACTTTTATAAATCAGCCTACAAAATCGTGATTAAAAAAATTTATAATTTTCCGTTAATAAAAAAATTGTCATAATTTTATAAGATTTACAAGATTTGATCAATATGCAAAACATTGATAAAATATTTATAATNACACCTTATTGCCATCTAAAATGAATGTGTTAGAAACAAACTGAATTAAGTAAGTTAATTGATGATATTATGACCTGTTAAATAGAAATTACTGATTAATTTGTCAATCATTTCATGTTATATAGATTATCAATCTTCCGAACATTTACACACATTAATATGCTTGAAATGAACTTGTATCAACTCTCGGAGATTTACATAAAAATATCTGGAAAGCATTTTCTTATTTTATGATCTTTTATTTTTAATATTAAAAGAACCTGTCCAAAAAGACAAGTTCTTTTAGTATTAAAAATTTAAAAAAAAGTACAAAAGTTTAGAGCAGTGATGATAATATTGTGATATATATAGTATAGAATAAAATATTTTAAGTGAAAAAAATAAACTGAATATATAATTATAGTGATAATTCAGGTAATAAGATTATAATTAAAAATTAAAATCATATTGTAATAATTAAGTTAAAGTACTAATCATATATAATAGTGTGAAGAAACAATAAAATAAATTCAACAGAAACATCTTAATTTAGTCATATTACTATCTATCTAGATAAATAAAACTGTAAATGTTCGTTTGTTCAAAATCTTAAATCTCCGAAAGTTCTTAACTGATTGCTTTGAAATTTTCACACAACATTGCATTCAAATACGCACGTGTTTTTATATTATATAGATGTTGGAATTCCCCCCCACAAGGAGAGAGACAAAATTAAGGCTTACAGTGAAGAACAGGTCTTCTATTATACTGTTTTAGATGTGGTTTTTTGCATTTTTGATTGCATTTTAATAGGGTACATCAAGAGAATGTACACTAAAAAGAAATTTTTCGAATTCTCCCCTGCGGGGAGTATTATACATTTATAATAGATACATTTCGAGCCACAGTAATGCATGGCCAGGTACAGCTAGTATATTATAAAAATGATACAAAGAAATGTACTGTTAAATAATTTATCCTCTTTTTAAAATTAAAATACTACACTACCAATCAATTACTTAAAGAATTCATGCACACACTATCATTTAATTTTAGAATCAAAATTATTTTTAATTCATAGTTCCTGTAAATCACTTTTTTTTTTTAAATTAACAAGGAAGTTTATAATTAGCAATATACACATACATTGTTTGAGAAATTTTAGACTTATTTAAATTTAATAAGAAATTATTTAAAATTTCTTAATTATTAATATGCCACCAGATGGCAACATACATATATTCCAATTTCCAATAAAAAAAAATTTTCAATACAATACTATACGCCTATATTTAATATAATCAGACTGTAATATTGTAACATATGAAATTAAACACAAGATTTATCTAAATCAAATATTTAATTAACTTTATTGCATCTCAATAATATGAACTTAATAACTGGTATGAGTATGTACAGTACAACTAAAATACTCCTCAAACCTTTTAACCAGAGTGCTTCTATTTTTAGAATCGCAAACGTTTTTGTCGTCCCTCCTGGGCTCTTCTTCAGGCTTTAACGAATAACCCGTTACTGTTCAAACAGTAACAGGTTATTCATTACTGTTTGAACATTTGTTTCTATAATCTAGTCATTACAGTATATCATATTCTATTATAGAAATATCACGCCATTAATTCCATCACAATTATTAAATCTTTACACAGGATATATGTCATTATATAAATAAATCTTTTTTATTTGTTCTTGTCAACTTTTTGTGATATTTTGTTATTCAATATTAGAATTGAAATTTACGTACTAAAATTCTAATAAATATAGAAAATTTAGAAAAAAAAATTACATAAGCTTACTTATCATTTCTTTGAGACTTNTAACCAGAAAGGTAAGTCAAAATAATAACAGAATATTTTTAATGCTTTAGTTTTTAATTATTTCTAGTTTAATTTATAACACTACGATATTGTTGATAAAACAGTTGTTCTGACTTTCCAGTTATTTTGGTAAAGATTAGTACAAAATGTAAATTTCCATCAGCAAATCATACAATGAAAAATATTTTCTGAGTTGAAAGTCTTCAAATTTTAGATATTTTTCAAAGTCTGAACAAGTCTATTTAAAATCATACTACAGATTTTGCAAATAATATTGTTTAAAAATACTTTAAAATGACATGAGTATATCACAAAGCATGCACCATAGTGCACCTAGTACTTTATGTTTTTATGTGCATTTATGTTTCACATTTTTAATAGAAGAGATGATTTAAGATTCTTTGCAAATTGGCCTTTAAATGAATTATTTAATAAATTCAAAATCTTGCAACTGTTTTAATTTATATACACAAAGACTGAAAGTGCTCAATTAACATAAAAAATTAACAACAATGACAAGAAATTTTGCATTATGCCTGCTTATTAAGAGTCAAGATGTATTCTGGATGATGAGAAACAATAAAATAGCATTAAAATTCACATACTTGTAATAAACTTGCTAGTACTTTCAATGACTTACAGTCATTGTTGTCAGGCAATAATTGAATGTAATATTTAAATTTTTTAGAATAGGACAAACTGTAAACATTGTCATTTAAAATTATGTGAATTTTAACACTGTTTTACTGTTTTTTCTCATCATTATAATTCCCTGTGTGAAATGTGTGTTATTTTGTCAATTATTAGCATGTATTCTAGAATTTTAAAAAATGCCATGATGCAAAATTTGTGTTGAGACTGTTAAAAAATTCACCACAACATGTTCCAACATTATCAACTTACCACAGTGCAAGGTTAAAATGACAGATATGCATACAACAATCTGCCATCTTAACCTTATTGAGGAAGACAAATGAAGACCAATTCAAAGTCAACTCAGTCATTCTTCAGCTTGATCTGACATGGTAATCAACTGGCAAGTGAACTTTCACCAAACTGCCAACATGGTTTTTCACCAATCTTGGCAAAATAACACTTGGCAGTATAACGCCAGACTTTTTATAGATAGTCTACCCAGATATGTTAGTCCCCATCATTTACTATTCTGATCTTCACTGGGATGGCCAGATCAAAATTATTTGTTATCTGATTTATGTACTTCTGTTGATTACAGCAATCCCAACAACTCCTACATTTCAGCAAAATCAAGATTCTTGCATCTATCGACATTAGAAATTGCTCCAATTTCAAATGATCCCTCTTAAATAACAGAATTAACATTCATTGCACTATTGAATAAGTTCAAATTATTAGATTCCGTGGTAATAAAAGATACCTTCCACACTTTTCCAGCACCACTCCTTTATTAAAACAAGGAGGTCAACAAAGGAAACAAATTGTTTTCAGCCACTTCTGGGCCTGCAGATTGTAATAAATACAAACTGAATGTTTAACCAAATGTTTTATGAGTATTTATCCATTAGCTTAAACATTTGATTTGGCAACCTGATGGAAGCCCTTAAACGTGGCCAAAAATATTTGTTCTAATAAAGGAGTAATGCTGGGAAAGTGTGGAAGGTGTCTTTTATCATTGAATAGTTTCAGTTTTTAGAAGTGTTTCATTCAATTATCTTTAACAATCATATTGCAAACAAAATTATGAAACATTCAAATATTTAATCCCAGATACATCACAAAGAATGTAGGGAGGAGAGATCTTCATTAGATCATGCACAATGAGAATCCATTACAACTGTTAGTTGCTTCCTTTGATAGTTTGCATTCATAATGACAGAATTGAGAAGGGAATTCAGCAATGTCAACAAGTGTAATAAGTTTTTACTCCTGTAAGAAAAAGATGAGTAGGAAATTCCCTCTGAGTTGCTAGTTACCATAGAAAAAGACTGCCCTTTTCTTATAGTGGTAAAAAAATGGATGGCACATTTCAAAATCACTATTTTCAGGTAACAAGCTCTGAGCAGCCCATTTCAACAAAGATAAAGGAAATGCAAATGAAATCCACATTCTGATTTTTTAAGGTTTCTATTAAGAAAATTATAGATTTCCCACGAAAGAGTTTCCCACATCATCCATAGCATTGTCAATATGCAAAAGCTATCTGTGAAATGAATTCTGAAATTTTGATACAATTACACATTAGTCTTTATTTCCTCAGATTACTATCTCTCCTTAGCACTGAAGAAACACATGAAGAGGACAGGAATTGTTGCCAATTACAAGGCCATTAATGCTGCAGGTCTGATTGAAGGACCAACCTAAAGACATCTTTTTGCAAGAATTAAAAATTGGAGTAGCATTGTAACAACTGTGTACAATTGAGGAGTGATTATAAAAAAAAAAAATTAGTCTTTAAAACATTACTCAATAAATTTCTAATAGCATTTATTAAATGATATTTGTTATTTTTTAAAAGCTCTTTAAATATTTTTTTAAATGTTATATTCAGAATTTTATACATCTGACAATGTTTCTTTAAAAAAAAGTTGAAAAATCTTGAAAATTTATTAAAATTGTTTTTTTGTTAAATTAAAATATTAAAAAGATACCTTTTCAATATGTTTTTGAAGATTTCTAACTCCACTTTCTCGACAATATGATTTAATAAGTTTTTGTAAAGCATCATCAGTAATTGTGACTTTATCCTCTTTTATTCCTGTTAATTCGCGGGCTTGAGGTATTAAGTAACACTAAAAATTAAAACCCAAATAATTACTTTAAAATATATTTAAAAACTAAACTAAATATAAACTAGTTTTATCAAATTTATTTAAAAAGTGAGTTACCTTAGCTATGGCTATCTTTTCTTCAGCAACATAACCTGACACTTCGATCATTTCCATACGGTCTCTTAAAGGTTCTGGAATTGTGTCTGTTACATTAGCAGTACATATAAATAGGACCTGTACATAATTCTTTGTTCTTAAGACTGTTTGAAGAATATATTTAATTTTAATTTTAATATAAATAAATTAATACCTTTGATAAATCTACTGGAACATCCAAATAATGATCCAAAAAATTAATATTTTGTTCAGGATCCAAAACTTCAAGTAATGCAGATGATGGATCTCCTTGATAACCTCGTCCAATTTTATCTACCTAAATCATAAATTATATTTAAACATTATATTAATTTAAACTTTAAATTAATATAATGTTTACTTAATGTTTATAATGTTAATGTTTATTATTATAATGTTGTAATATGAATAAAGAATTTGTACACTGATTTATACATTTTGCTTTATGAACTGTACACCAAGCATGTTCAATGTTTTAAACTACACAATGCTTATTAAGAATCCAGAAAATGGTTTTAATTAATTAAATGGTGTGTTTTAGCTTTGTCGTTGGGACTTCTACATTATAATTGCTCATTGTGACCTTGAAAATAACTTTCAAAAATTCCATCCTATTCTCTACATGACTTCCTATATAACCAGGGTGGCCAAGCTCCTTGATAGTCCGAGCCATTTTTCAAAATTTGAAATTTTTCGCGAGCCGCAATTAAATACATATTAAAAAAATATGCAAAAAATTCCAGATTACAAATTATATCCGTAGCAAGAGTGATACAAATTGTTTCCTCCAGAGCACAATGTCAACTGTCCGTTGCAATGACAGTTTACAAATTCAAAATCGGTCTGGAGTCAGTCGATNTTAATTGTCATCACTCTAAAATCGCGCTGCTGTCAACGGCTGCACACCTTAAAGTATGAAGGAGTACATGTCAGGAGTTGCAATTTGGCACAGAGTATTTGATGCCCAAATCATGCACACACAAAATAAACCAGACTTGTAGGTAGTCAGGGGACCGATAACTGGATCAAAAGAAAATACGAAATACTGAGACTGTTTCTACAGGCACGAGTGTGAGATTTCCGCATGCGTTGCTCGCGCTCTCCGAGACATTGCCTCGTCCCAAAAATGACTTCGCCGTTTTACTTGTTATTATTATATTTAGTTTGTTTATATAAATTTATTATGAATAATTAAAATAAAAATGAACGTTAAACAGAAAATTAATGAATCATTAATTGTAATATGAACAAAAGTTTTGAAAAAAGGATTCATTTCTATTCTATCTTTTTCAATTATTTTTCTACTTTATTTTTATATTTTGGTTTTATTGTCATATATGTAAATATTAATAGCCCATATTAATAAATCCTGAATTAATTAATCTTAGCATAGGATAGTGGCCTAACCATCTACTTTTAATTAAATTACAAAATTTAACCTAACAAAAATTAGCATAAGTTTAGTCTAAAATTTTAACAGTTTGGATCTATTATTAAATTATTATATCTAATTGAATTCATAAAAAATGTTATTCAAAAGAATATTCTCAATAACTCAAAATAAAATTCTAAGTACAGTTTCACTACTGTATTGAATGGATAATTTCAATAAGCTCCTCTTAGGACTCACAGAGCAGAAAAAAAAACCAAAATGAGAAGGAAAAAATCTTCAATAATCTACAAAAAAAATCAAACTTATTCAAGTAAATGATATATTAAATCATTGTATAAAATTAGCCAGAAATTTGAGTAAAGTTAATTGGTGTTTGAAACAACAGAAAAGAAAATGAAGACAATTTTGTATTTTTGTGATATTTTATATTTTAATGTAAATTTAGTCAGAAATTCTTAAAATAATAGAAAGTTAGAGCAATCATGCACTATTAAAAACATTTTTTACTTCAGCTGATTAACATAGTGTCCCATGTGCCTCAGAAAGGCTAAGCCATCAACAAACATTCTGATAACAAAAAGATTCAAATTTATTCTGAAATATAAAATAGCAAAGAATTATAATTTAAAGCAAGTTTCAGTTTAATTATTGAGCAGAGCTCTCTATAAGTCAGAAAGTGTTTTGTCTGTAATCCAAGTTCAAAACAATCACACGACTATTAAAAGTCTGATAGTTATATTAAAGCCAAATGATTGATTAAATCAGGCTGTATTACCAGTACTATTACTAATTAAATACTGAATAATTTGGCCTAAAAGATAGACATTAAATACCATCTTTTATTACATTTAATAATTATATTTAATATTTATTAAATAATTTAGAAAATTCTGAAAGAAATGAAACAGCCTGGAGTAGGAGATTTGATCCTGCAACTGCCACTTGCCATGTGAATACATTGTCAGGACCTCCATCTGATCCCTAGCTTCCAGACATATTGCAATAGCTGGCTGAGTGCCATAGTGGTTAATTATAGGTTGTGGGTGCTGAGTTGTTTAATTTATCAATTAATCAATTTTTCCCATTAGAAATAATGTAAAGAAAATTTATTCATTCCCAGATCCTAAACAATACCTATTTCAATAAACTTAAAACAGCAAATACACATAATTTAAGATAAAAATAACACAATGTCCTAATAAATTAAAACATGAAAACCATAAATAAAATATGTAAATACTGTAAAATAAAATGAAAACTGCATTTATTGGTCGCATGCGCATCTTAACATAGATGTGTGATTTAATTACAACAGTTCTGAAATTTAACTTATAATAGTGTGAGATTTTATCCTTTGTTCAGTCTTACTTTAACCACTTTACTTCACATTTTGTTTGAATAAAATCAAGTTTTAATGTCTTCAGATAAAAAGCATACCAGACATATTATGTTTTATGACTTTCGAATAGGATACAATGCCATACAAACAGTAAAAACAATTGTAATATGTATGGGAAAGATGCTCCTAAACTTTGAACATGTCAAATATGGTTTAAAAAGTTCTGTTTGGGAAATTTTGAACTGAAGGATACAAAATGTAGGGGGTGCTCAAAAGTTGTCTACAAAGAAAATTTGCAAGAAAAAATTGTTAAAAAATTGACAAACAACACACAATATAGTATACAAGCACCATAACCAAGCACCAAAAATAAAGCAAAAACAGCACTGAAAACATACAAGTATAACACAAGAGTGAGAGACGACTTGGACATTCAGCAGATTGTGTTTATGCTTTCGGCACAATTTTACACTGTGTGCGAAATATAGGTAACTTAGTGGAAGGGATTATAGTAAAAATAGGCAAAGTCTGATAGGTGATTTAGCTATACTTGTACAAATGTGTAAAGTTTTATATTGTCCATGTACTGTACATGAGATAATAAGTTATGTATTGTGTTCTGTTGTGTTTGATATTGTATCCATATTTAGTGTTGTTTAGTCTATTGCACAGTGGATTTAAAACCAAACAAAACAGACAAGTGGACTTAATTTTCCTGAAAGATGCTTTGCTTTATATGTATTTCATTTGTTTTGATGTATGTGATGTGAAGCCTAAGGCAAAATATATTATGTCTAAACATAAAATTTCATTACATTTTTAATATTAATACGTAAAACAATATACATAGATAATCTATATAATAAAATTACGTTAGCTCATTCATTAAGTTACTAACATAAAATGTTTGAATAAACGTAAATCTTACAGAAAAATGAAATAGTACATTTCAAAAAATATGTTGAGTATATTACCAGAAATATCTGAAATCTCAAAAAAATCAAATACTTTAGACTATAAAAGACANTCAAGACCAAATTATTTAGCATTTAATTATTAATAGTAACATTAATATAACCTGATGTAATCTGGTAATTGTTTGGCTTTAATCTAATAACCAGGAGGGAACTTGGGTACATTTATCGAGAGCCACAAATAATCCTTCAAAGAGCCGCATGTGGCTCGCGAGCCACAGGTTGGCCATCCCTGCTATATAACATTTACAAAATTGATCGATACATTTGGAATGAAAGAATGCAAGGTGCTGTTGACTCATCCTATATATTTACAGATAAAAGGAAAAAAAATCAATTGTATTAATATTATAAGGTTTATTAACCTTACCTCATCAATAAGAACAAGTGGATTTTCTGTTTTAGTTTTCTTTAAGCATTGTACTATTTTTCCAGGCATTGCACCAACATAAGTCCGTCTAAAAACAAAACTTAAAATTAATTTCTTATAATCCTCTGAAAAAACTGATCATTTTACTAAATATTTGCAATTAATAAGATTATTTGAAAACAACCAAATAACAAATAGCATGATTCATCAATAATATTTAAGAATCCGATTAAATAATCAAGTTGAATTTATTATCTAGCTACATTTGTTTAATTAAAATGTATTGCATTGCCTACTAGACCTCCGACCCATAACTGGCAACACGTTAGCATGGTAAGTGGGACTTCAAGTTCGAGACCCACTCCGACTGATTCTTTTTTCCAGAATATTCTAAATTAATTATTAATTTAATTATAATTATTAAATTTAATAAGATATGGCACCTAATTCCTACCTCCAGTGCCCAACTATCTAGAATTTAATTAAAAATAATAGTATTAAAGTAGCCCAAATTAATATGGCCGTCGTTTGACATGTTACAGACATTTAAAGTTCAGTGACATCATTTCTGGGTTTTCATACAAATGAGGACAAATTTATGTTTTATTTTTATTTAAATTAAAAGGTTTTTAAGAAGAGAAATAAGTAGATTCATCTTAAAACTTTATACTTTACTTTTATGTATTTAAATGCAAAAGTCTTGTAAAAATATGTAATACTTCTTAAATGTTTTGTTTGCTTTGCATCCTGATCCATATAAGAGCTGTTCTATATAGCAACCTCCAATGTCTATACAAACAATTGTATCTGAAAAGCATATTCTGGTACACTTGCTCAAAAATATGTTATATATGTTGAAATTTTTGTGCTGTGGTGATAATTTGTGCAGCAGATCTTCCTCTGATTTACAGGGGTCTCATAAATACAATTCTTCTTGTGATTCCAAAGGAAAAAGTCAAGTGGAGCTAAATCCAGCAATTGCAGAGGTCAAGATATCGGGCCATCTCAGTCTATTCATCTTCTCTCGAATATTTGGTCAAGATGATCACAGATAGCATGTGCAAGTATAGTGGTGACCATCATGTTGAAACCACATTTGTTGCCAAACGTTCAATGGTACATCTTCCAATAACTCTGGCAGCACTTCTTATAAGAAGGTCAAGTACTTGTGACCTGTCAAATGGTGTGGAAGAAGATACGATCCAATTGAACAATCAGCATTGCCTATACATTGATGCCAAACCTTTCCTGGAATGCATAGTATGTGGGTTTTTTTCATCCCAAATGTGGCTGTTTCAAGAAATTGAGAGCAGCTTCCCTGGTGAATATGGATGGCTTCATCTATGAAAAAAGTTAGCTGTCGAAACGAGAGCACATCTACACAAAGGTGTAGAAATCATCTATAGAAGTCAGTATGTGGTACAGAATAGGCTGGATTTATTGCATGTACTACCTTCTTGAGATGATAAGGGTGTAGTTTTGTTTGAACAAACATGATGCTGTGAGCCATACACATACCATGTGCAATGGTTTGGGTACTTGTTGATGAGCTATCTTCAACTAAATAAAATATGGTCTTGTCAAAGTAAAGCCGGATGCACACATGCGGCACAGCAAAGAAAAGTGATGTTGCAAATGCATCTTTGCCGCGCAGCAAAGATCTGCTTACATTTTGGCGCATGAGTTCAGTATTCAAGATGGCAAACGATACTGATATTGTCACTTGCCTTGTTTAGTTATAAGATTTTGTCGAAGATTCCAACGAAGATTTTGAATTAGAGATATTTTCTTGGATTGATACAGAACTGGTGTACAAAATACGCTTATTCCTCGATAAAGAATACTATTTCGAGTAAGATTCAGTTGTTTTGTTCTTTGAATTAAATTATATATGATTATTTGTGTAGAATTTGTGTTAAATTTATTATCCTTTCCTCTTTATTCTGATGTTAGTTATCTCGGTTAACCGTGTCGAACTTTCCGTCATTAAAACACCACGTGATTGTATTTTCTCACATGACTACCAGACAAACTGTTATTGGCCGATAGAAACGCATCTTGGCAGCGGTTGTTGCAAAAGATAAAATTCAACCAACTTTTGTGGTACAAGAAAAGTGGCACAAAATTGACTTCTGCAGCGAGAAAAAATGATGTCATCCTGCCGCTTTTCCTTGCCGGGCTGCATGTGTGCATCCAGCTTAAGGGGTGCAGCACTTCCTGGAAGCACCACAGTTGGCTTTATTTGCTGTGAAGGTACTTCTTTCCCACAGCCATTAACTTTGACAAAAATGACATACAATGGGCAATACAATATGGAAAACTCCTGTTACAATACATATAAAGTATTTGGTTTAATGAAAATAAAAAATTATGATTAAAAAAAATATGCACACTTTTTAAACCTTTTCAAATGCATCAAATTCCAGAAGTGACATCAATAAGCTTTAAACATCTATAACTCCTTAATAATGGCTTTATTCAAAAAATGTTACTGAATATTTTTATCTTAGTTTCCCTTAAGGAATCTGTCCCATAAGTTTATAACAGGAATTTGAAAACACACTGTATAATCAAAAAGATTTTATATACAGGGTATTTCACTTAAGATGTTACAAGTCAATAACTCAAAAAACATATGTTTCTATAAAAAAAAAAACTGATAAAAATGAAAGTTTAATATTTCCAAGGAGCCTTTTTTTTAATAAAAATAAAGTCTAGTCCATTTTCCTGGATGGAACAAGAGTCAACTTTGAAATCTCAAATGGAACCATCTCAATTTTTCTATATTTTTTAGTTCTCTATTAAAAAATAAAATTTTATTAAGAACTTTTCAAAAAATGATAATTTCAAAGGTTACAAAAGCACACGAGTCTTCCCTAACTTAGTTGGTAATGTTTAATGACCTTGTAGTCATAGTTCATAATTCTTTTAAATGAAAGAAAATGAATTATAATATTCAAATTTAGTATTTATTATTTCATATTAATGAAAAGTTAATAAAACAAAAACTGTAATATGAAATATTTCTAAAATATCAAAATAAATTCATTCTCTTCATAAATGGTTCAACATCACTTAAATTAAAAGTATTAATTTGTCTAAAGATACATTATAAAACTACATCAATGAAGACAGATATTTTTATAATCTATAGAAATAACTGATAAAAGTTCTTCAATTTTTTTAAAATAATATTTATGTTTTTATATTAAAAAATTATTCCTCATATAATAAAGTTTTTATTTACCTATGCCCTTTGATTTCTGCTACATCAGTCATTCCTCCGACACTAAATCTAAAATACTAAAAATCATCATTTATTAAGAAATCTCCATCATAAATGCTAAATAAATTTGTAATCATTGTTAAAAGATTTAGTATTTACTAGGCTATCATTATACAGGTAGTCCTCGGTTTACACCGCCACACAATTTACCATTTCGCGGTGTAATTTCCCGATTTTCCCTATGCAAGAATGATTTTCATTTCAGTGTTGACGTATTTACCGAGCCGCGACACTGTACATTCGTTAAAACAAAGATTTTTATCGAATATATTTAGTTTTTCTGTTTAATATTATTGGGTATATATACATTTGCATTAAATTAATATTAAAATACTAAACGTTTAGGTACCCACGAGTCAAGTTATCAAACTTAATTGTCCAATAAATGGCGTCCGAATCCATAGCGCCAATGAATGTATCCCGTATCAATTCGTTCAGGAAAACACCTTACGACACAGTAGCACTTCCAGTGATCACAAACTATCCTTAGTGAGACAAATCTACTTCTTGTTGGCCAGACGATACTTTTTTATTAGCCAGACAATATCTATCTCTCCTTAGCCACCTTCAATTTTCCCATTCAAACTGACCTTATACATGCGCTACGGATGGCCAATCAGTGTCTCCGCTCGTCTGTAGCTCTTCGTCGGGTTAATGTATCCTTTCAACTATGGAAAGTTTGATGGATGAACTTTGTGAGTTAGACAATAATTGGGAGCGAAGTGCAAATGTAAAAAGAAGCATCATCGCATCCATTCGACCATATTCCGAAATTCTCAATGAAAGAAAACAAAAATGCAAACAATTAAAGATGGATACTTTTTTCCAAAAAATGTGAGAGATCCGATACTAAAAGTTTTAAATAAAAACATTTCACTTTATTTTATGATAAAATACGTTTTAAAAATTAAAAATTTATATGTATTTTTAATTATATTGTATTAATAAACAAAATTATTTGCTTATTTTTCACTTATGTAGAACCNGACTCCCCTATAAAACGGGTTCATATAATGCAGATACATATATAGCTGTGAAAAAATTGTGACCATATTCGTATAAAGACGCTAAAAGAAACTCATAAAATGCGGTAAAACATCATCGCCGACTTGTGTCGCGACAGGATTGGTCGAATCTGGACCAATAGTGGATGAGCAGCTGAACTACTTACATGCTACGGAGATTTTAGGCGGGTAAGTTGAGTTTACTATCGTCTGTACAGTATATAAATTAGGTACCATAAGTCTAATACAGTACTGTAATTTTATGCATTTCTTGTAAAAAAAACATTTCTTATTCAACGGCCATAAAAATTATTTCTATTAATGATGTCTCCAAAAACAAGCTTAAGCAATGGCATTGTCGAATGGTGCACACTCGGTAAGTAGTCCTACAATTTTTTATTTATAGCATAGTTTATATGGATTATTCCCAAAAAATTATGTGTTTTGGAAATGTTGAATCAAATTAGTCTAGAATCGATTAATTTTATGGAAGAAAACCTTTCAAACAGCTGTAGTCCATAAAGTGCATACGTGCTGGGCTGTGATTGGCTCATGTATTTAAGGACTCATAGAACATGAATTTCATAAAAAGCAGAACGTATCTACCTCGTTATAGGGGGTCAACTGTACATAACTATGTGGATATTTGCATTAAAAATGTATTGATGTGCATATTCTTAACTTGTTAATTAATGTGCATTTTTACATATTATTATGAGATTCAAGCATTCACCCATTAACTTCTGCTTAAATATTTCCATTCTTTCCACTGTGTACCCATGAACTGGAGAAGTGCTGTTCCTGATTATCTTTGTATCCTTCCATATTATTTCAGTATCCTCTATGCTGATAAAACTGGCTAGAGCTGTGATGTTTCTTTTTGACAAGCATTATATTTGTGCTCATATATTTGCTGAATAAAATTCTTCCTAGTATAATTAATTAGGCCATATTTGTGCTAATGATATTCATCTTAGTCAGTATCTCGTATACTTATTTTTTTTTTGTGCTTTGAATCCTATCTTTATCATTTCTTAAAACTCTGTATATCATAAGAATATGTTTGTAAACCACCAAAGCATTTCATTTCCTGGCTAATTCCTTTTGTACAATTGGATGCCAATTGCCAATGTGTTGGAGAATGTGAACATCTTGTTGTTAGAATGTTGGCATTGATTTTAGAGACAAAATGTTTGGACTAATTGCAATCATTTTTTTGCTCTTATATCCTAGTGCTACTGCTATTCCTGTAATCCTGTTGATGATGTAATGAGTGTGTGCATATTTTTAGCAGTAGTCATTTATGCAAGTTATGCAAGTGTTATTGTAGTTGATAATGTTATTTTGGCATATTTAAGTATTTAATTGCTTTCAAATGTTTGTATTTATTTCAAAGATTAATGTTTCCATGTGCTATTTATAATTGTTCCATATCCTGAATATGGTCTATCAAATAGGTTGAAAACATCTAATTTTTGAATAAAGTATTGCTATTATAATGTGATTGTTTGCTTAATGGTTAAAGCAGCATTTGTATAAAATTTCACTTCAGTATTATTTCATAAACAGAGATGTTTCCATTTCATATTGATATTTCGTCCTGGTGTACATAAACAACTTTTTAGAATTCGTCTATGTATACAGATTTAAAAATAAAGCAATTACCAAACTATTGCCAGATTATATCAGGTTATATTAATGTTACTATTAATAATTAAATGTTAAGTAATTTGGCCTAGAGGAAAGCATTAAGCACCATCTTTTGATAAATATAACAAAAATAATGTTTTAATAATTAAATTAGAAGATTCCGGAAGAAAAGAATTGGCCCAAAATGGGACTCAAACCTGCAACGCCTGCTTACTGTGTAGTTGCATTGCCAGTTAAGCTACCAAGACCTCTGTCCAATCTTCACTTTCAGAGTTATTAATTTAGATATAACTATACTGATTACTCACAATGTCAATAGCCTACCTCAAGACCAAATTATTTAGCATTTAATTATTAATAGTAACATTAATATAATCTGATGTAATCTGGTAATTGTTTGGCTTTAATCTAATAACCAGGTTTATGGATGTTTACATTTGAATAAAAGCAATTACCTCTCTATTTAAAGCTTTTGCAATAGATTTTGCAATACTTGTTTTTCCAACTCCTGGGGGACCATAAAAACATAAAATTTTGCCTTGTGTTGAACCACGTAAATTACTAACTGCAATAAATTCCTTAAAATATTCAAAAAGACACAAAAGGAAAATTATTTTTGATTTTGTTCAGATATATATTATATTTTTGAACAATATTACTAGCTTACTAAAATACGCTTTTTCACATCATCCATTCCATAATGATCTTCTTCTAACACTTCTTTGGCGCGTTTCAAATCAAGATTTTCAACACTTGTTTTACCCCAAGGTATATTTGTCAACCAATCTAAATAATTTCTTGTAACACTAGAAAAGGTAAAATAATAGTTACAAAATGTTCAAATCTTTATAAGAGTTATAAATAAATAACAATATGAAAAAATGTTATTTTCAAATTATGATCTAACTACTCAGAAATCATAAAATACTCAGAAATTATAAAATAGTCAATTTAATCTTTTAGGCCACAAAAACTCAGAAAAAATTATAACATAACAAAATTTTAATAGACTGTACAATATTTTTGATGGAAATCCCCACTTGTCAATGATATGATGTAATTGAAAGGACTAACTGTTTGCACTCCAAAATTTTAATATTACAGTAGTGCTTGACACTAAGAAATTTTTTAATCTCTTAACTTAAAACTCTACAAGTCTTTTAATAATCACTCAGACCCAATATAGATATAAACTTGTACTCCAAAAATTTTTTTATATGAGTAGTCAGTCACTCACTCATATAAAACTGGTAACTGTTCTATATAACATATCCTCATTTTCAGTAACATAATACCATTCATCATATTGTGCAACACTACTCCATCATCATCAGTGCCATTCTCAATAATCTCAATAACTTGTTTTTTTGTTTTTTATCTTATCGTCACTGCTTAAAACTGTCTCCAAACAGTTCAATGTTTGTTTGTTTGCTTGTTAAGTTATGGCAACACAACATTTGGGCGATCTGCCTAGAGGGATGCCTTCCAGGAAGTCTTTTTAAGAGTAAATGGCCCCTATTCAGGTATTACAGATATGAAGAAAACCCAAAAAACTCCACGTGGCCAGCCCATCCTGGCAAGGCGTGAACCCAAAACCGAACTCCCAGTGTTCAGGAAATGGAACTGCTTGGCCAGTGGTGGGCTGCCAAACAGTTCAAAATCAAACTTGCATTTACTTTGAGTATTTTCACAAAGTTCCTCTTTTTTATTTTTATGAATGAAAAACTTATATAATAACTTGTATTTATGATTTTACACATATTATCATCATAATAATGCATGTTAAATTGTGATGTAGACACACATTGCCACAGCAGTACCAGTGAACAAGTGACATATACTATTGATGTCATTGTAGAAATATCTATAGAGTTATGATAAACACTATGCATATCACAGTAATTATAGTGAACTTGTAGTATATATTAATAACCTAGCAAATCATCATAGTTACACCATTGGAGTTATGGTGTATACTATCAATGTTGCTACAGTGGCATTATTGGTGTGCAAAGGGAATGCTCTTTCAAGTACAATATATCATTTAAAACAGTGGTCCTCAACCCACGGGCTGCAAACCGGTACCGGTCCATGAATCAAATGGTACCAGGCCACCCAAGGAACATTAAATTACTGGTATTTCCATTTTATTTACTATAGTGTATTTCTCTCAGGTTTGTGCAACTTTCAATGGACGACGGGACAACGGAATAAACTGGACATAAGAAACACACTTCGGGTGTCATTGTCTCCTATTACCCCCAGATGGAACCGTCTTGTTGCAAAGAAACAAGCTCAGGGTTTTCATTGACTTAACATTCTAATGAGTTAAAATGTTAAATCACATTATATTCATTTTTTGGTGTAACTATATTTTATTTTGAAGGCATGTTTAAATACAATTAAATTAAAATTATTAAATTATATCAATCTAAAATATAAACAATCAATGTCCCCCCCTCAGTGGGCCGCGGTAAAATATCAAACATTGACCGGTCCGTGGCGATAAAAAGGTTGGGGACCGCTGATTTAAAATATATAAAACTCCGAAATTTTTGAAAATTAAGCCTGATTATTTGTTTGCTTATTTTATGTAAGAATTTCCAATTTTCTTTCTTTCACATCTTTTCCCCCAGCTTTAATTTTCAACTAATATGTAATAAAAGTATTCTGAAGATTGAATTCTTTGTCTAGATATAAGTCAAAGTAAATGTATTCCAAAATTTAAAAAAATATTAAGATATTAATTTTTCAAAATTACTGTATTATTTAAAATACATAAAACATAGAGTACATGTAATTTATATTGTACTGAATAACTGAATCAATGTAATCATATATTCTTGTTACTAAGAAACTTTTTTAAGGTAACTTTAGGTTTCAACTTTTAGTCCAAATTACAACATATCTATATAGTTAATTAGCCAATATCTAGCTTGATAATTAAGCCAGCTGTATCATTTAATTTTATTACTATAATTCAGGCTTGGTTTTCTATATGAAACAAAATATAATTTTTCAATAAATTGTCTATCACAGAAAAAGTTAATTCATTGTTTAAAAAAGAATAATGAGAATATTTTATTACCTAAATTCTGATGAATGATTATCTAGGAAAGAGAGTTTATTTAATTCTTCTTCTATAACTTCAAGAACAGGTTTTGGAACTACAAGACTCTAAAATTTAATAAAATTATATTTAATAATAATAATAATTTTAAAATAAATTACATTAAAATAGTCTATATTGATTTAAAAAGTTCATCTGAAAAAATGTAATCCCTTTTTCAAATATGGCAAATTCTGACACCAAATTGTCAATAATTAGAAATAAATTGCCTTTTTTAATAGATAAAGTTTATTAGCAAACAAAGAATGTTTTTGGCTCATCTTGAGCCAACATCAGCTTACAGATACAAATTTTAAAATAATGGATCATCATTTCAAATATATTACACATCAAACAACAATATTTAAGTTATAAACCAAAAAAATTTAGATTGACAAATAGTATTTACACTTAAAGTAAAAACAAAATGTTATAAACTAATTCAAAAACATTAATTAACAACAAAGAAGTGTAAAAACAATAATTAATAAGAGAAATGTGTTTAAATTTAGAAATAAGGTATATAGTGAGTCTAAAGAAATCTTTTGGCATCAAAGGTTACCAATCAAGTCAAATCTAACTTCAGTACAATCTTAGAATTGATTACTTTAATATACCTATACAACATATATACATACACACTCATATACATACAGAGTGACTATAATTTGTAATTAAAATACAGTACTATCTCAGTAATCAAACATACATGGGACCAAAACAAGACAGATTAAGAAGATTGCTGAATAATTGAAAGTAAAGTAAACTCAATGGCATGTAAACAAATTTGACATCACACATTTAACTGTTAATGATGCAGAAAAAGCATGTGTCAGATTATTGATCAAAACTTCCAAGCATCATCTTCACTAGTCCAAGGATTCATGCAGACTCACTATACATTTTATTTCTAAGTTTAAATATATAATCTAATCTGTTTTTTTTATATTATCCTGTATATTTTAAGTCAAAAAACACCAATTTATTAATCAAACAAACATTTTTAACCTTGTTTAAAGGTTATCCTCAGATCAGAACAAAAATTGAATAGTTTAAAAAATCAAACAATTTAAAACATATGAAATGTTGCATGCATAAAGGTAAAGCAGAAAATATTATCCTGTTATTAATACATTCCATTATTATGATTTTAAACTTCTTGATATTATAATTAATACTTTTAAATTAATTTTATGTTTTGTTTTACTTTTATTTTAAATATAAATAATTATCTTTAATTTATATTTATTAGTTTATAATTTAAATGTTATTGTTAAATTTGTAACGTGTTCCTAATAGTTGTTCCAATGTTCAAACGTTTGGATCTACAAGATGATATTGGCCTAAGATAGGCTGGAAACATTCCTTGTTTACTAATATAATTTGTTACCAGAAAAAACAATTTATTTCTAAAAATTTAAATATTTGTAACCACATTTTCTAAATAAAGTGATGAACAAAATCGAAGCTCAAAAATCATTAATGAAAGCTTAATAAAAGTCTTCCGTAGTGACCTTTCAGATATTGAAGACTTAAAAAAAAAATATGGATTTTCTTTCATTATCCTTTTCAGAATTGGTCTTTAGAAAGTTTATTTAAAATAATTACAATACCATTATTCCCAAAGCTCACACCAACAAGTCAAAATTCAATTTGTAGGCTTATTTTCAACATGTTTTTATTTGGAGAGAATAGATACTCATAACTATCTTAAAAATATGTAAAACTTGGTATCACATTGTCAATAACAAAAACTGCCAAATTAAGGTTATCAAAATGTTTAATATGAAACATTTTCAGTGCATAATTATCTTTCTAGCATCAAGGAAAGAAATACATTTATTGGCAGAAGTGAGCTAATCTAAGATGACCATCACGTTAAATGAATATATATGTGTATCACTCCATATATTTACAGAAGGTATTCTGTTTAATATTATAGACACAAGATCTCCAAGTCTTATTTATAGCCTTTGAAATATTGCTGATCCTAATTTCTTCTTTTATCTGGATGAATTATACTGTACATAAAGTACAGTATAACTAAGCCAGATCTCAAAATATAAACCAATAACAGCATATCTGGAATACTGAAAACTAAATTTCAGCTTTTTATTCCTCTAAATCAGTGGTTCTCAACCAGGGTCCATGTAACATTACTGGGGGCCCACAGAAAAAAAAATACCGAATTGGGGGTTCACAGTGATATTTTAATGGTCTACAGGGTAGTTCTACTTCAGAACAATTGTTTTATTGAGAATTAAATTTCTACAGTATATATATTGTTAATTTCTTTATTACTCATTTCTTGCATAAGAGTTAAAATATAAATTATTTAAAATATTGAATACATATATGACATATATATATCATTGACAAAGGTCAAAGAGAGATTATAAACCTGGGTTTGTTAGGAGAATCTTATACAATCAGCATCATGTCACTTGACAGTGACATTTCTTAACGTTTTCCTTTCTTTTTTTATTAGTGAAAAATATAAGGTTTTTTTCTGTGCAATGTCTATAGAGGTCCACAAAAAGAAAATTAAGAGGGAAAGGGGTCCATAAGCAAAAAAAAAAAATTGAGAACCGCTACTCTAAATACAACATGAATTAAGTAATATCTTTGTTAAAGAATGATGCTGATTATTAACTTTGTTAACAATATAGTTTGTATCATAAGAATTATTTAGCCATAAAAAAACCATCAGATTTGTCCTATTCATCTGTACTGATCTGTAGGTTCTCACAATCATAACTTACCCAAAATGAAAATTTATTCATTTTCATTTTCAGAAAATCTATTTCTTTCATTACTAATTAGTAATGAAAGAAATAGATGAAAAAATACAAAACATCCCAGGGATAAAGACTGTAATGAGGTACGTAGNTACGGAATAAGAAACAAACCTGTATGTATATTTTTATAAAAATCTTTGTACAATTTATCTGTTACGAATGCTATAATTATATTGTTGTTATATATTGTTATTTGTAGCAATGTTTAATTATATTGCAGATCTAAGCCCAAAATTGATGAATAGAATAATGTTCAAGGAATATTAAAACAAAAAAACAAGAAAAAAATCCATATGTATATTTTTTGTAAAGGAGAAAAATACCTCTTTTTTAGAAAAATTTTTGTGTCTTAATTTTATCATTGTTTGTCATTTATAGCAATATTTTCAACATATTACATTTTATGCCCAGTACTGTTGGTTTAGTAGAATATATTTTTTTTCGAAAAAACCTGTACGTATAATATTTTGAAAACTTTATAAGTTTTTTAAAACTATTTATATGTCATTTTATGATTTTTATGATTGTGTTATTATTGATTATAGCAATTGTTAAATCATACTGTGATTCATACCAAGATAGGCAATATAATGTGATAAAATGAAAGTGCCGTATCAATGTAACAATCTAACTGAAGATAAAAGGAAATGTGTAAAATCCTTAAAGGTATTAATAATGTGTTTATGTTATGTGACTTAACATCTAGATACTTCATTGATTTTTTAATCTGTATATTTTTTGTTAACTTAATTTCTATAATTGTAATTTATAGAACACTGAAGAGGAATTGGAAATATGAAACCAGTTCAAAATGCATATGTAAAAATATAATAAAAGAATTCATTAACCTGATGCTGTAAGATAGGCTACCGAAAGAATTTGTCGGATTAAAGAGAGAACCATTCACAAATGAATATACAGCTTTAACCAGTAAATTCAAGATTTATTCATTTTTGACTATAATATTTCATAGGAATTTTTGCATATAAAATTCCAATAAATTCTGTTATCTACATTTCAGTTACCTGCAATTCTGTTACCTATTTTCTTAAAATGCTTTGAACTTTAATTTTGGATACAAATTTTTTATGTATATGTAACATAATATCTGTGCATACATATATTTACTGTGAGACCCGAAAGGCCCTGGGTCTAATTTATGAATTTTTATTAATAATGGTAAAATATTGACACAAAATATTACTTCATTTTTTGTGAAAAATAGTGTTTTGGACGTGGGAAAAACCAGATAACAGATGCTACTTCCTTTCACAGAAGAGAACATCCTCTGACTTTTTCTTATCTGGTTAAAAATCTCGCTCAGATGGGAAATGGTTACCCCTCATTCATCCCCCTTTCGTCCGTTCTCACGAAAGAGTTACTGGCCGATGATTGGTCGAAATTCAGAAGATATAGAGGGAACTTGTCCGAATTCAGGGAGTTCTTCGACAGATCCGAAGCATCTAAACTCCACACAGTTCTCCTCCAGATGGCCAACGCCCTTAACGAAGTCCCATAGACTAAGTCCCGAGTCTACACGTAGAAGTGACACTTTTATATTTTGTGCACGTATTGATCTCCTGTACGAAAGTAAATGAATTCTATCTACAAGGAGTCCTTTACCTACAGAGAAGCAGACGACGACAACTAAACAGGTTGTATGTTTTATCACAAATTTTGTGAGCTCTCTCTCTCGATCGCGCATCAACCTAGAATAAGTCTTAGCCTATAGTTTGTCGCTTAATTGTCGTTCATTGATATTTGTATTCGTTGTTTTTAGATTATTAAATTTACTCTTGTTTAATTTACTCAAATGTCTCTTAAATTGATTCTGAATCAGATCGCAAACGCGTGTTAATCCGCGTATAATAAGTGTGATTAACTGGTGTCAAGGAATCCTGACGAGCATCTGAACTTCGCAGTTCGGATCATATAGCGATTATCGCCCTCCTATAAAACGTTTAGAGAGCCGATCACACGATCGTGTGCCAGTAAGTGATATAGGTAATTTCCCTATACCCTTGGCTACTCTCACATTACATTACATATGCAGACATATGCATTGTTGTTTATATATAAGGTGTTTCAGAAATATTTAACCAAATTTCAGACTTAATCTTAATAAAAAAGTTCAAGGTCCTTTTTTTTTTAATCTGAAATTTAATTAGCAGGTTATTAAATTAGGGATATCATTTCCATTTTTTTAAGTCTAACTAAGTAATTTATCAGTAATTAAATTAGTTTACTGATTATACACCTTTATTAAACAACTCATTTTTCAATCAATCCCTCTTAATTAAATTATATTTATTTAATTAATTCAGCTAATTGTACTTTTGTAATAGTTCATTAGCCTCTTTGAGACATAAAGACATAAGGAACTTTCAATAATCACCATAGATAGAAGAGCAAAAACCACACAAATGCCAAATACAGAGGAGCAAGTTACTGCTATAATTAATGAAGATCCTTATACAAGTACAAGACAAATAGCTAGAATAATCAATGCAACTCACTTAAATGTATGGAGTATTCTTTATAAATACTAATTGTATAAATACCATTTACAGCAAGTGCAAATACTTGAGTCACACTATTTTCCTCCAGAAGTACAACCTTGTCAACAATGTTTGTGAAGTAGTATTAATCTTTGTGTTCTCAGGAATGAACTATTCACAGATAAAATTATATTACAGAGACATTTCATAGAATTCAAAAATGTTAATAACATCATTACATTTTGACATTTAAACACTTATTAATGAAGCTTCGGAATAGAACAATGTCAATTTTTTTATTTCAGTTTTCTCTCTCTATAAGCATATGAAATTTAGCCAAACATATCTGATACATCCTGTTTGTGCATGTGTATATATACATAAATATACATGTATCAGAATTGTACATGTATGTATATTTATATACACAATTATATTAAATGTTAATTTTGTTAATTATTTGTTTAAAATTCATGTTGTATGATTTAAATTTGAAATTTGTTTGCTGCAAGCAACATTTTTATAATTTTCTAAAAACACTTGTTCTGTAGTTTTTCTTATAAAAAAACAGTAAACTTGAAAAAGAAATTATACCAAGTGAATATGTTTGTTAATTATAATATTATATATTTTATNATCCCATGTAATTAGTATATAGCTATTAACCTACTTTGCGTTGAATTTTCATCGATGTTAAGCCTAACAAAAATTATTTAAAATAATAATTGTTGCTATTGTAGCGTTAAAAATTAGAAAATTAAGCCTCGTTTAAATACTGGCTCCCTTTCATGGTCGAATGAGTGTTGCCAGCTAAAACACTTAAAAATAATATTAAGGTAGCCAAGACATAGCCAAATATTGTAGCGCCACATCACTAGCGGACATTTGAAATTTGCCAACTAGGGCGGTTGGTTAACCGAGGTGTCGGTTAATCGGGGGTCGGATAATCGAGGCTCTACTGTAATTTTTTTAAAATCCATGTGCATGTTTATTAAGAAGAAATGAAATAATAAATAATTATAACTTGTTTTGCATCTTTAATAAGTTTAGATATTCTAAGTGTTTTAACACTTAGAATATTCAAAAGATCAGATAAAAACCATGTTCAAATCTAGAACTCTCATATACAAATTAAAATATATTAATAGTTAAAATCAAAGTATTCTAAATCATTCTCAAAAAAATGAAGATTGTTTAATAAATAAGATTTCCATTTTTGTAAAATTAATTTGGGAAGATGTATTTTAAACATTTATAACTGATATATGATCTATATGTGTATAAATGATAGTCATAAACTGATTATCACACCTACTTTTAACAATTTTATTAAGTTTTATTTTTTTTTTTAGAATATACAAAATTTCTTCTTACTGGCTTTTTATATTTTAGAGTTTAATAGTATTTTATTACACTCTCTTCTTTTATAATTTATGGAATATACAAGTTTCCCTAGATCAACTTTTAATTTTTATTATTTTAATAGAATTTTACCATACTTTTCCTTTTATAATGAAAAGTTGCCACTTTAAAACCACATGTAACTTCTGCATAAAGATTGATGTAAAATAAAGAAAACCAACAAGGGACATATTATCCAAAATGAACATCATCTAAAATTAATAAAGCCTGTATATCTATCTTTGTTCTATATTCCTGTATGATACATTCTCTCAAGCAATCTTATGCTTACTCCTAACAATTAAAACAAGAACAAGAGACAATCAAGTACAAATAAATTTAAGAAGTTCTTTTAACACATCAACCATCTTTTAGTAGTCCATATTACATACAGTAACNATTTGGGAAGATGTATTTTAAACATTTATAACTGATATATGATCTATATGTGTATAAATGATAGTCATAAACTGATTATCACACCTACTTTTAACAATTTTATTAAGTTTTATTTTTTTTTTTAGAATATACAAAATTTCTTCTTACTGGCTTTTTATATTTTAGAGTTTAATAGTATTTTATTACACTCTCTTCTTTTATAATTTATGGAATATACAAGTTTCCCTAGATCAACTTTTAATTTTTATTATTTTAATAGAATTTTACCATACTTTTCCTTTTATAATGAAAAGTTGCCACTTTAAAACCACATGTAACTTCTGCATAAAGATTGATGTAAAATAAAGAAAACCAACAAGGGACATATTATCCAAAATGAACATCATCTAAAATTAATAAAGCCTGTATATCTATCTTTGTTCTATATTCCTGTATGATACATTCTCTCAAGCAATCTTATGCTTACTCCTAACAATTAAAACAAGAACAAGAGACAATCAAGTACAAATAAATTTAAGAAGTTCTTTTAACACATCAACCATCTTTTAGTAGTCCATGTTACATACAGTAACATGCTTACGTCAAAGTAAAATCATAAACAAAAATTGCAATAATTTCTCCAAAACTGTTTAATGATATACCAATACTTTTGCTTCATTATTTAATAATCTACTTTTGTTATACTTACCCAAATCTGATAAATAAACTGGATTATCAACTACTCGCTGTCCAGCTTGAATCATTAATTGAATAGATTCTCTATAGAGTGGATTCATTGAAATAATGTCTCTAATTGTTTTTACAATTTCTTGTGTGAAAGCCTGTTTAAAATATACATTTTACATGAATTCAAAATGTTGGTAATATAATTGGTTATAAAATTAATTCTTATAATTATGATACTGTAAACATTATACTTTAACACATTAACTGCCATCCAACGTGCCGGCGATTTAAAGAGAAGAGATTTAAACTTCTGCTCAAATTAATGTGAAATAAATCAATACACTGGCCAAAATCAACTATTATATCAATTATCTTTTGCAATGTTTAAAGGATAATGAGATTATCATCATTATAATATCAAAACAATATAAATATCTAAATACAAATTACAATCATCAGAAAAACAAAGATTACGATACAGTATATATATATTTTTTTCATATTTAATGTCAGAATAAATTCAGCTAAATATAGTTTACTTTTTGGAAATCGTGTTTTTATCTTTATCTTTTTGATAAATTTAATTTTAAATTAAAACGAAATAATTTCAACTACTTAATCTTTTTTAAAAATTTTACCTTCACTTTTTCATTCATTTCAAACTTTTGATGAGTGACATTTTCAACTTCAACCATCAAAACTTTAGGAGGAGATGGCAAAACTTGGGGTTCAACCTGAGATTCACTTTTTTGATTGTTATTTTTTCGATTTCTTTTCCTTTTTTTAGTATAAACATCATTATCTGAAATATTAAAATAAATATCTATTTTAATAATGTAAAAAATTAAATAAATAAAAAAACATAATTTTGTTACCTGTTATTTGTTTAAGAATACGAATTCTGAAAATAAAAATAATTATATTAAAGACTTATTACCAAAATAACAATTTAAATTTAATTAACCTTTTAACGATATTCATTAAAAACATGAACTTTGATTGTCTAAATAACATCTTCACTTGTCCTTTTCACATCATCTAAAATACTCTAAAGCTTAGTTCACACTGAACAAATAGCGAAAACGAACGTGAAAAGCGATTTTTATTCGCTTAGTGAAATTGATCCATACAACCAAAAGCAAATAGTAATTGCGAATTTTAAGCAGCCAATCATTTGCAAGCAAGCAAAAACGTCATCTCAAAAACCAAAATGGCTGATTCTGATATTCTGTCATTAATCAAATTTGTTTATTTATTGAGAAAGAAAAATAAGTCAAAAAGAAAATGATGCTGGGTGAGAGAAATATGAAAAATCCATAATTACATGTACCCTATTGCGTGAGAAAGTTTCTGTAGCCATCTTGAAAACAACAAGAACCATGTGACAACTAGCAGGAATATGATTGGTGCAAAATTTTTTCACTAGAGGAAAAGCCTGACAGTTCCGAACTTTGAAGCGATTCACAAAATGGTAAAATTCACCAAAAACGATGTCATGTTTGACATGTTGTTCGCTCTGTTTTTCGCTTTTGCCAACAAATCATGCTTCGTGTGAACTAAGCTTTTATTTGAGGCTGTTATCTCAAAAAATCATGTTAAAAGTAAAAGTACCCACTGGTGATTGGATAATATTGTAAAAATAAATATATGAGGTATTACATTTAAAAATCCCAGACACTAAAGTTCATTATCCTAAAGCAGTGTTTCCCAATCATTTTGAATTAGCAGCACACTTTGAATTTAATTAGATTACTGCAACACACCATAATTCTTAAAATAAAAATGTTAAAATTCTTTTCTAATTAAAAAGTTGTCCATTTTAATATCTGCTTAAAATTTAAATTAAATTACAGTTGATTTTAAAAAATTTTTGATAATACAGAAATTAAACTTACCAAGACAAAAACCTTCAATTTTACAAAGGGATCACAAGGAATACTCTTTATACATTTTTTAATTTTTGTTCTGATAAATGGGGCTATGCTACCTTACTATGAACCTCTATCACTTCCCTTTAAGTAGTATAAAGTTAATTTTTTTACATTTACAGTGTTTCCATATAAAAAAACAACCTTTTTAAGTGTTTCAGATATGATAGTAAATAAGAATAATATGAAAAAATACTCATTCTTTAAACAATATTATGAAAAAAAAAGTATGATTTTAGTCAATGTGTCTAATAATTCAGCAGTATACTGTACTGTACATGCTCCAAAAAGTTGGTACAAAGACATATGAATAGATGTATGCAACTTTTGTGATGGAGGTATGATGAAGCTGAAAATTTTGCAACAATCAGCATTTCAGTGAATACCTCCTTCTCCCTTTGATCAGTTGGCAGTAAAAAGATGAAAAATAAATGAAATTTTAAAAAAAAAAGCTTATTCAAAATTCTAAAAAATATTTATTATTTCCATGACATATCTGAGGCACTCTTGTGACACACTTGTATTGCAGCACACAGGTTGGGAAACACTGGCTACAGTATTGTCCTAGCAACATTGCCTATGTATAAATAAATAAATTTGTGTTTTTAATAAACTTCAGTGTCCAGAATTTTCGAATGTAATACACTGAAAGACCAAATGTCATGGCTATAGCAATTAAAGAAGAGTTTACATGCTGCACTTTTAATCAATATGATGCTAACTGGGGACTATTCAGCACCCACAGTCAATAATCTCCCACTATTGCACTGTTGCTACAACCACTGGCTAAGAAGCCAGCTATTACTTTACCCTGGCATGGTGTTTATATACAAATATAAACATTTGTAAGCACGAGCCAAACAATTGCTAGATTAGATCCTTTGAATTAACTGAGTTAAAATTATTATTTAACCCAATTAATTCATATTATTGTAAATGTTATATTTATTAATTTAATGTTACATTTAAATCTTTCAAAAAATTGTAAAAATATGATGTTTAATTAAATGTAAAAAAAGATAATTTCTTGACAGCAAAGTAATCAAACTTTAGAATATGGAACACATGCAAAAAAAAATTCCATTATATTAAGTTTGGTTCAACCAATAATATAGATAAAACAGCAAAAATGACGGCTGATTTACCAAGAAAGTACGTACGGAAGTTTGGATTCTAAATATTTAAAATAGGCGGAAAATTTCTTTATTGTAATGTATGACATAAATTTCTTCCTTCTAAAAAAACAGTTTCAAGTATCTCAGCATGTTGAAATGTTATGACATCAGTGTGATATGAAGCATCAAAACAAGCCAACACAGTAACTAATCACAGGTTAAGTTCTAGTTGCACTGAAACTAACTTTAGAAGAATTCATGATGTCAGTTAAAAACAAAACATTACTATCAACTTCAACACTAAATCTATAATTAGTTAATAATTTAAGAGAATTTACTCATTTCTCGTCATTTGTATAATGGTGTAAACAAAAACATGACTACTTCAGACCAGTGACTTAAATATAGGATGAGGAAAACTAGGTTTATTTAGTCATCCTCAAACATCTTATAAGCAATTGTATGTATAGAAATAAATTCAATAATAAGCAATTAAATAGCATAAATAAATAGCATAATTTTCAAATCCCTTGTGTCACCTATTGTTACAGATTTATCCCCTACCACCTAAACAGTGTGATATTAGTTTTACTTACAGACAGAACTAAGTATTATGCATTTCAACCTACAAATTTCAATGTATATTACTGGGCTTTTAACATGCGTAAACCTGGCATTTTTACATGCATATTTATGCACATATATTGCAATTTTAAATGCATATACCTCCTGTCCATACTAATGGCTAACAGATGGCTACTTGCATGAGATCACTGCCAATTTGATGTAGATTGACCACAAGTTTCAGAAAGGACTTTCCTACTTGCATTCTATGGGATGTGGTAGCCAACAACCCATTTGCATATAATTGCTGACAACACAAAATTTTATCAATGTTAAACATGGGCAACATTGATCCTCCTTGGCCACTTTTATGTGCCTCACTCCACCACAGTAATGTCCTTGTATTGCAAACCTGCCATTGGGAGCTCCAATGGCAGGTTTGCAATACAAGGACATTATTGCAAATCATCTTCCTGATTCTCAAGCACTTTGGTAGGAAGGGGTATTTGTACAAAATAACGCAGTGTGTCATTAGTCTTTAGTTGCAAGGAAGTGGCTCAAAGAACACTCAAACAACTTTACCACCATGATTTAACCCCCATAATCCTGATATGAAACCCTCATAGCATCTGTGAAACATAATGGAAGCAAGCCTACAGTCCATGAATCCAGCACAATCAACTGTATGGGTGGGTAGTCATCCATACAGTAGGTCCATACAGTATGGGTAATCAATGTATGGGTAGTCATCCATACCAAACAATACTAGCAACTTGTTGCCTTCCATATGGCTGCATTAGTAAGAGCTTGAAGAGATTAACCCATTATAAGATATGTATCCCTTGACTTTTGACCTATCATCATATATTTATTTTGCATTATTATCCAATCACCAGTGAACATTTTTAGTCTTTTACATAACTTACTGATTTCATAGCCTCAAGAAAATGTTGAACTTCAGTGCATTTTAGATGAGTTCCTGGTGTGAAAAAGACCAAGTGAAAATGCACTGTATCTTTTTTTTCTTTAATTTTTTTTTTTACCTTCTATAGGCCATCACAATCATTCGTAATTTTTCTCCCAAATCTTGTAATTCATGAATCTGTACAAAAGTTCCTACTGGATATAAGTCATCCAACTTTTCCATGACTTCGTCATCACTTAAAATATAAATAAAAATTTGATCATCATAATACTTATGTTAAAAGATTTCCAAATTTAAAAAATAACAAATAAATCTAATAAATTAAAAATTCCTTCATTCTGTATTAGCAAATTTAAGAAAAGCTTATGAATATTAGTTAAAATAGTCAGGATTTATTTCTTAAAATCATAATTATTTCTAGTTATCATTGGAAAAAGATTTCAATAAAGCATATTCTTTTTGAATAATAATTTCAAGGACCACATTTTATTTTGTTACTAAAATTATTGTAAACAAATTCATAGTCTTTCTAACATAATATTCATTTCAAATCCAAGTACAATTTGTATTTATAAATAAAATTGATCAAAATCAACAAACACCTAAGAAATTTATAATATTTCTTTTTATAAACTTTGATAAAATGATATTTAAACTGAAATTTTCTGTTAAATAAATTCTGACACACTTTTCAATTTAGTAATTTGAGTTTTTTTAACTCATATTCAAAGATAAATGCATTAATTTCTAACAAACATTCAAATTTACAAAAGCTAAAAGTTATTTCTAAAATTTATTCTTTCGAATAATTTTTAGAAGTTTGATCTTTATTCATTTTAGAATTTAAAATATCTAATCTTGAAAATGAATTGCAAAGCATGAAAGTACACAAGATGAAATTGTATTTATTTAGTAGAAGCTTCAAAAAATATTTTGTTCATGCATAAGAATAATTTGGAGTTTATATTTGAATTATACCAGATGTCTTGTTTCTCGTAAATTTAAAATGTTTTGATATTATTGTATTATTATTTTCATATATAATCTAAAATATGTAAGTAAAAATATAACTTAAACTTTACCTTTCTTCTCTTTTCAAAAAGACGCCTGCATATGGTTGATTTAATCGAACATTCTTTCTGATGATTTCAATTAATTCTGGATTAGATATCTGAATAAAAACAATTTTATTATTTCTATTTTTTGTTTTATTTATTAATTATATTTTAATATTAGATGCATAAATTATCTTTGAACAAGAAATTGTAAATTCAATATTTAGCAAATACAGAGTATTTTTGTTAATCCAAACTATTTATTGCTTGAAGTTATTCACATCAGCAGCATTCAGGATGTTTGCTGGCTTTCAAAATATGTTCCTCATTGAAGAAAGGAACCAAATAATTGTTCTTCAATTATAATTCTCATTCTTCACTTCAATAATTTTGATTACACCACATAAAAACAATTCAAGTTATAAATGGGATATGAATTAAACACGAGAGATTCAACAATTAATTGTGAAAAGACTGAAATAAAATAGTTTATTTTTTTTTTCACATAGCTGATTACAGTAATTATTATATGAGTATAATATAACAATAATACAATATTTCTATAAAATTTTTTTTGATAACATAACATTATTAACACAAATGTTTACATTGTGTTAATAATGTTAACTATTAACCTGTGCTTTATTAAAGAATCTGCACCTATATATTTTTGCACATATCACAGCAATATGACATGTGCAAAATATACAGGTGCAGATTCTTGCATATATACAAGATTCAAAGGAAAGCCCATACATCCCCTATAATTTTAAACCACCTGTCATAGTGCCACTGAAGTAATTGACATCTATAGGAATTGTGCAGTCTGTTGAATGTGAATTTGAATTTAATGTTCCTATTGGTAAAATACAAGACTAAAGAAAATTAACTCAGAAACTAACAGAGATAGGCAAAAAAGTCCAATTACAAAATGAAAAACTGGTACATTTGGTACAAAACAATACTTGGTTCACCAGAAACACTTACAGTTAAGAACAGAAAACACTAAGAAAGTAATAAACATTTATTCAGCACAGATGCAACTAACTTGCCAAGTAATCTACTGTACACAGTGTTGAAAGCGTGCACCATCAGCAACAATGCACTTCTGGATTCNTCTGTTAGCGAACCCTTTGTTAAATATTTCGAATATCACCACTGCGAACGATTAAAGATACATCCTTATAAATCTCCCTTAGAATAGTGCTCCCTCATGCAGACTGCTGCTCTAAAAATGATGCAGATATGATACTTGTTTAAACACATTGCTCTGCTATCTGTTGATATATTTATAGAAGTCTTACTATGCTATACAAAACATATAGAAAAAAATCAAAAAAATAGAAGCGTGCTCTACGAAATAAACCATTTCCTTATCTGGTGCTCTATTAAGTGGATTCGACTGTACTTTAATATATATCTAATCTGTTTATATGATTTCATCGAATCATTTGCAGAACATAATTCTAATCTTACTTTATCTTGTATTTTAGAAATGGATACAGAATAATAACCTCGAGAACTTTGATAAATTGTGGAAAAACTGGATTCCTATTAACTGCGATAACTGGAACCACAGGCCAAACTTCTGGTACAGTTATAGCCGATAATGCATTGACCGACGACACATTACTAAGTTCTTTCTTCTCACCATTAGTACTTTCCGTTGGATTGTCCTGTTTATCCTCATCTTTCTTACTGCAATAATACCTGACATTTTGACAACTGTAATAGGAATTCAATCTGTAAACATTTGTCAATAGATATTTGTCTGTTGAATAGTCTGATGCAATCGGTTTAATACTGAAATTCAGATTCCTGCTTAAACAGTGAAGTGCGGATAAGTTTCTGTAACGATGTGGAGTCGATAACCACTGATTGTACCGCCACAAACGACGGTGTAAATACCTCATTGAAACACTATAACCACACTTTAACAAACTCATGTTGATCTTAACCTTAACAGCACATGAAAGCATGGAGCGCCATCTTGGATTGCCAGATAAAATAACCTAAAATAGCCAATATCGTTATGAAAATCGCCAAAAACATTATTATCATTTTATAATTGCATGTGAATATGTAATTTGAATAAACAAATAAAGATCTTTCGGGTTATTTAATTTTGAATACTTATGTGAAAAATAACAANTTTTTAAATCGAATGTTCTCCGTCATCATTTTAATCTAAAAAAATTAAAATAATAACAGATTACATTAGATTAAAAATAATATACTTATCATCAAGATATCATCTAATTGATTAGAACTGAAATACTGTATATACCAGATATTCTGTTAATAAGTCTTCACCAAAAATAAGACCATGGATGCATTCTTGGATTCTAGATTTATTTTCAATGCCTTAATTCTTCAGATTCCCCAAGTCCAATCACAATGCTTGGAATTAGAAAATCTGAAGAATCCAGACAATCAGATCAGGACAATGATATCATCAAAGAATGCTGAAATCATTTAGTTTCCATAATTATGCCCAGAGCATATCCATAGAAAAATCTAATACAGTCAAGTTCACTAAGAGAGCACCCTTGGGATTGCCACATCATGCTCTCATCTGAAGTAACAAGATCACCCAAGGAGTTATATGGTATTCAACTCTCTCCCCTTTTTTCATTTCTTAAGAGTTCTACATAACTTATAACACACTTGGCAATGTTAAAATTCATTATCATATAATTGACAAGACTATGTCTTGTTTATAAAATTGTACTGCCTGCTGGGTAACCAGCTTTAGAGGTATGAAAGAATACATTTCAAGAGTTGCAATTTGGAACAGAGTATTAGGTGCCCAAATCATGCGCATATAAAAAAAAAACAGATTTGTAGGGGGATGGAGAACCAAGTCAAAATAAAATTCAAAATGACAACATTCTCTACAAAAAGGCAGTAGTGTGAGATTTGCACGTGTTGCTCGTTGAAAAGTTGAAAATGCGAATGTTGTGAAATCGAATTTTGACAAACAAATCTTTGAAAAAGCCCATTTACCTGTCCCGTGTTATTCCCAACATATCTTTGGTCTCCTTGGTGACCAGAGATATGTCAGGAATAACACGGGACAGGTAAATGGGCTTTTTTCAAAGATTTGTTTGTCAAAATTCAATTGACCAAGTCAATTTGTTTCAAAGGGATACAGGTACTAGTTGAGATGTTGGTCGCCAGGATGGAGCCACCATCTGTACCAAAGATTCACAAGTACCCAAATAAATACAGTACCATCTTAAAGTAACATCACATGATCTCCAAAATCTGGTCACTAATCACTTCTTGTCTTGTCCCCTTGACAGAACGACATACATGATCTGCACTGTCTGTTCATATATATTTTATGATATCTTTTAAATATATAATTGCTTTTCATATATATCCAATAAAACCTATATTTCTGTAAGAAATGTTTGACTGTCCATTAATTAGAAAACTGACCAATGGAAAGTTTCATCTAATCTCAACAAATATCTGTTGGCGTATTTCTTGGAAATAATGTACCGAACGATCAGTGGTGATATTCAGCGGGTTCGCACAGGTTCGGCCGAACCCGTTGTTAACATTTTCAAAGTTTTCCGAACCCGTTGTTAAACACAGGTAACATTTCTCAGTGGTTTTGTTTCTTTTAAAAATTATATTAAAATATACGTATTATACTCTGTAACACTACTAAACTAGAGCCTTATACCCTGTTCGCCTTGGTGCAACGTCCATCGACCGTTTCAATCTCGACTGAAATGAGGTTTAATCGCAATCGACTCAAGAGAGTTCTTGAAACTAGGTCCAGTCATACGAGAGATCCCACAATTCCACGCGCACGAGAAAATACAAGATGGCTGCAGAACACGTGTCCCGCTATCGACAGCGGAATAAAAAAGATATTGTATTTCGAGAAACGATGACATCTGTCTATTATTATAATAATACCTAATGATAAAATAAATGATTTAGAAAAGTTTTTTCTTGAGAAAAAGCCAATTTTTATGTTTATAAAATATTTTGAATGAAAAATATTAAAATACTGTATGTACAAAATAAATAATTTTGAACACTTTTTTTAAATATTTATCAAAAAAATATTGTTTTGGCATAAACAATGTTAAATTTTAACTGACTTAATTTTGCGAACGCATCTTTTTTATTTATATGGTTATCTTAAGGTCAGTTTTTGCGCTAATGTTGCTAATGCACCATTTGA